CCACACATGTAAAAATATCGTAGCTGCTAAGATTTAGTTCACTTTCTAAGAGACGAATTCCAGTTGCCTTCAGCAGAAATTAACAAAAACTTATGTTCCCTTTCTTTATATAGTCTTCCTGAAACTTTGTTTGAGTATTTTCTAGTTAAGTGTGTAACCGAATGTTAGCGTCTCTCCAAATCTTGAAACTTGAACTTCGAGGATGCATCGAATTGTGCTCTAGTGTGGAAGCGACAGGTTTCGGTCGACGTCCTAGCGAAGTCCGTTGTGGAACTAACTGCGTTTCCCATGGAACAGAGGCCGCGTCCACAACTCTGCACAAAACTCCAGTGTCGTTCTTCCCTTGAATCACGACAGACCAGTCACACAGTGCCGTAATACTTGTGGATTCTTTTGTAATCTTTGTAATCTTAATAAGGGCATTATGAGAAGAGGACTCCATGTTTTTTTACTATTTTGAACACTTTGGGGTGTAACCGTGAACGTCCCCAATAGGGATGGTTGTTTCGTTTTAAGGAATAAGCACTTAGGGGAGAGACGGTGAAATGCACTGCTGAACGTCTTACACGCCCGCGGGCACGTGGGGTCATGTGTTGAAGCATCGCCCTCCTGCTTCGTAAACTGACTGAAGTTGTAGCAGTTACCCCTGGGGATTGAATTCTGCCAAATTGCCATTTTTGTTCAGAAGAGAGAGATTTGGGGGTAGTTGTGAGGGAACAGAACCTTAAAACTACTTCCAGATAGTGTTTCGGAGACCGGGGGACTCACACAGAACATCAGAGTCAGGGGTGTCAGGTGCCAAGTTTGGGTGAACTGTGTTTGCCTCTTCCGTCACAGTGGTGTCACTCATTAAACTCCGGGCGGGTGGGAGTGGGACTGACTGACTACTGTGTCCTGCCCTTTGTTTTTCTCCCAGAACCAAATAACAGAAATGCGTGTGTGTGTGTGTGTGTGTGCGCGCACGCGCGTGTGTATCGTGTCTGTCTTCCTACCCCATTTTTTATGATGCTGTATTCCACTGCCTGCCTTTTTCACCTTCTCTCCCTGGGATTTGTCCTGTAACTTAGCATCTGTGGCTAGCAGCCACGCGAAGGCTGACCTCGCATAAGAAGTCACAAGAGAAGAGCGGAAGGGCAAGAATTCAAAGCATTCGTTCATACAATGTGGCAACCTCTCTTGCATAGCTGCGTAGGATCCCCTTTGTCACGCTGTCCTATTCTGTCGTTTTGTTCCTCCCCCCTCCCCCCACCCTCCCACTGGAGCTACGAAACTTTTTATTGGATTCAGTCTTGTCTTTTGTCTAGAAAGAGTTTTATCTTGTTGACGCACGAGCTGTTTAAAAATTACTCTATTACGTGTCGGTTAATAGTTGTGCAGTTTTTCTTTTCCGGAGAAAAGGCAATTCACGTGTTGCCTTTGTGTTCTGTCCCCTTCCAGTCCCCTCGGCCCTTCTAGTCACAGATTTCATTCGTGTATGCAACGTCCTTTGTAATTTAAAATAAAAAAAAGTTGGAAAGAAAAGGTTTTGACTTGCTCGCCTCCTGTTTTCGCCGTCCAGTCTCTCTGGCTTCCCCGTGGCTCACTGAGGCAGCCATCCACCTCGGACAACCGGCTGCCGAGAAGTTCTGAGCAGAAGACAGCAGAGAACTATGGAGATACTTAGCCGCTATGCAGGATTACTTATTCATAAGCGTTTGCATTCTTTATAGCTTGGAGCACAGTTTATACTTCAGTGCTTTGGGCAAGTGAGCTTTCTGAGAGAAATGAAATATTTTGAGTCTCTGAAGTAAGAATACCTAGAGCCAAACTTGGGGACCAGAGTGAACCCCGCTGTAGCTTTGTGTACCTTCAGCTAACAAACTTGTCCTTGTGCCAAGATTTGTGCCAGCTGCTGGGGCCTGAAATTAGAGAGACCGCCATGGTCTTTGAGGCCACAGGGGGGATGGCGGGAGGAGAGGGGGTAGCGTGTGGACAGGACCTCAGAATAACAGTCATTACACAGGATGCCGGTGCCTCATCTGCTGGGGTACGTTAGAGGGGGACTGATGGGCTCAAGTTGCTGACGTCCCTGGAGCCTTGGAAAAGCCCTTTTGGCTTCCTTTGAGTGACATAGAGGCTGTCAGGAAGCAAAGTGGACTTGGTGTCCCATGAACTAGGTCTGCTTCAGGACTTAACCCCTCAAGACCACGCCTTATGGAATCCTCCACCACAGTCCAGGACCTTGAAGGAGCTGGGTGGGCCAGGTCAGGCTGGCTCTTGGGGAACTAGCCCTTCCGTGAGTGGTGCGCAGTTGGGTGGGCTGCTCACTGACTCGAGAACTCCTTGGCCACCAGGGGAAACAGTAGTCGGGAAAATCTAATGTCCCGGCTGGAAGGTTCAGAATGGCAAGAAGGAGTTAGAAAGTCCTAGAAGGTTAGGGTGGCATCCGGGAAGCCCCTGCTAGGGGCTGTCCCATCAGGGAACTCTGCTGCTGCTCTCAGGGTCCCAGCGAGGTGGGCAGTCATCAGACAAGGCTTAGATGAGGGCACTTGATGCAGACCCAGCTCCTGTGACGTGGAACTACAGTGCAAACTCCAATCTGCTTGCTGGGCTCCGAGACCATCCATCCTCACCTCTAAGGGACTGGGCAGTATTGGGATAGACATCTGTGTAAGAAGTAAAGGGCTTAGAATCAGAAAACCAGAAAGAACTAAAGCCAACACTTAGCAGATGTAGGAACCAAACGCCAATCTCAGGATCAGTGGGTAAAGGTGACAGGAACTGAACAGTGTTGGTAGTTTGGGAGTGTGGGTCACCATATTGCGTACCTGTCCCTCAAAGAGGACGTCTAGTTTAGAGTTGGTCATTTTGTTAGAAGGGACTGTGTTGAAGGGTGGAGAAAAGGGGAGCTGTGTTTTCTTTAATTGCAGAGAGATGCAGTTGGGGACTGTTGATTACATAGGAATTTCCAGCAAGAAGCAGGACGTCAGGTGGGCAGATCAGCGGCTTGCAGACTTTGGGCTTCTTCACCGTCTTACATAGGAATCTTCTGTTTGAAGAGCCAGGGTGTTTGACCTAAATAATGTGAACTTCCATTTCTTTAAGAAATTTTAATCTTAGAATCAACCCAATGTGTAAGGTCTAAAGAAATCTTGAAAATACCATGAAAGATACAGAAAACTTGAACAAATGCAAAGATAGACCGAGTTCTTAAACAGGAGCAGTCAAAGCTGTCGGTCCTACATTAAATAAAAAATTCAATGCCATCCCAATAAAGACATACCGATAGGGCAAAAAAAAGCAAAACCTATGTTCACATGGGGGAAAAATAATAGTTGGGAGAGGCTGGGGGGAAGAGGGTGTTTAATCCCTAACAGATATTAAAACATATAAAACTATAATAATTAAAAGTGTCGAACCAAAGGGTTGCCAGTTTGATTCCCAGGGAGGGCACGTGCCTGGGTTGCAGGCCAGGTCCCCAACGCGGTACATGAGAGGCAACCACACATTGATGTTTTTGTCTCTTTCTCCCCCCCCAAAGTAAATAAATAAAATCTTGGAAAAAATGTCATTTTGGTGCGTGAATGACTAGGCCAACAGAACTACATCCAGCATAAGAATTTAGTATGGTAAATGAGGCATCGGGGCCAGCAAGAAAAAGGTGGATTCATCAGAAAATAGTGTTGGGACGACCAGATAGCTAGAAAAGGTCAAGTTGGCTCTATACCTCACATCATATGCTGCCATACTTTTCAAAATGGGTAAAGATAAAAACGTTAAAAAAAAAAAAAAAGAAAGAAAAAGGAAACAATTCCTGTTGCTGGTGGAAGGGCTTCCAAACTTGGGTCCCAAACCCAGAAGTCGTAAGTGAAGATTGATAAATTCTATATGAAACAAAAATAAAGCAAAAAAAAAACAAAACCACTAAGCCAATTCAAAATTCTATAGAGTAAGGAAAGTTCATGGCTAAGGGCTAACCCTAACATAGAAAGGGCTCCTGGGAATTGAGAGAGAGAAGACCAACAACCTGATAGAGGAATGGGCAGACAATAAATACAAGTAACTCTCAACCTCATTCATGATAAGAGAAATGCAAATTTTAAACTGGCATTTTTCACTTAAGCAGATTGGCAAAAATCCCGGTGTTTAACGTGCCAGGTTGCCAAGGCCGTGGGAAGCAGGCATTGGTAACATATGCCGGCGGGAGTGTAAACTCCCACATATAGGACCTCTGTGGAGAGCAGTTTGGAGGCATGGATCGGAATGCTTAAATGCCCATGACCTTGGACCTGGCGATTCCATTCGCGCTGGGCAATGATCGAGCCCTGTGCCGGTTTCCTCGTGTGTAAAATGGGGATGATCCTATCTCATGGGGCGGTTGTGAGAGTTAAGTTAGATGGTACACATATAGTAGTTAGTACAACGTGCTTGGCACATAGGAGGTGATTCCAAAATGTCAGTCACGTAATAATAGCAGCGCGCACGGCGTTCTTCCCGGAGCCACCTCTCCACACTGTGCTGGGGACTTTTCACGTCTTATCTTATTGAATCCTCCAGCCGACCGCGTGCGTACCACCAGGTGGCCTCTGAGGGCACTGAGGCACGGAGACGTGATGTGGGTTCACTACAATAGGAAACATACAAGAAAACTTAAAGAAATATAAAAATGAGTCCATGCCACCTTCCAGAGACATCCCAATTGGGACTTTTCTTCCAGTCTCCCCTCCTCCCCCAAACCTCAATGCAAAAAATCTGTAATCGTCAGAATGGCTGATCGGCGGAAGATGGGGAGAGGCCACTGTGAAAGCGTTCTTGATATTCTCTCTTCTCTTCCTCTCCGTTTTTGGGGGGCCACAACAAGAGGCGAGAACGATTTCACCCCGACATGTGGGGAAAAGTGCCCACGACTCGGCGCCGCCACTCTCGCTGGCTTTAGGCCAGTCTCTAGGGGGCGCTGTAGCAAGTCCGGGAAGCGAGAAAACGCGTTTGCACTTGGCCACCGCCGCTGCCCGTAGCCGGCGTCTCAAACATGGCGGCTACCCAAGATGTCCACGTCCGAATTTGCAACCAAGAGATTGTCAAATTCGACTTCGAGGTGAAGGCACTTATCCAGGTACTGATTCCCGGGGCCCTGCTGGGCTCCCACTGTCCTAAACCCGAGTTCCGCTGGTCTCATGTGAACTTCACGGTGTCACTCCCGAGCTTTCCCTACTTGGTCAAGTCTCCCTGGTCGTTGGCCCGGCTACATGGTCGGCTACCTTTTCTCTAACCCCTTTTGGTCCCTTCCCCTTGACCTTTGGCCTTATGCCTTCATCCACGTGCCGTTGGCTCGTCCTTTTCTGGGACACCCCTTCCCTCGCACCTGACCAGGGTTCGCCTTTGTGGCCCCGCTTGGTCCCTCCCCTCCGGACCCCTGAGTGTGCCTTGCCCTGGACCACCTCACAGGGCATCTGTCACCGTGTTGAGCCCCGCCTTCTGATATGGCGCTCTCCACCGTTCGGGAGCGTTCTGGAGGCATTAGCCCCGCCCCCTGCTGGCCAGTTCCAACGGATCTGGTGCCAGGTGGCACCCAAGGCCACTTGGCACGGGAGGGACTGGGTGAAATGAACATCACCTGGACGTAGTTGTGGGTTTGTAATGAGGAAATCAGTGAACTAGCAAGGACCGAACCTGAAGGCAGTTAGTGGCAGAACTGGGAGTTAGCCTAGAGAAAGGACTTAGGTCATTGAGGTGCTTTGACTTAAGCCATTGAAGGGCAGAAAGAAGTAGTGCAATAGACCAATTGGCATAGGCAAGAGTTAGGAATGTAGTGATGGTTCCTTAAGTTTAACAAAAAGAAACTAAGAGTTTCAGACCTTGGTTTGGGCAGATCATTTCCATTTCCAGGGAGTGTTAAACATTAGGTGTGGATTCAGAGTTTGCAACTAGCTGGGGCGAAGAGTGAAGGACACTGGGGCCACCATGGAAACCAGATGCAAAATAAACCAAATTAGTGGCTTACCATATGGTGCCAGGGAGTGTGATTTAATGAGTAAGCCAGAGGGAGAATGAGGAAACGATGCAATCATTTAAACTTCTTGAACTTTCCTTCTCCTGTGTGTAAGCTGGAGAAACAGTTCAAAACACTGGGCTATTTCTAAAATCTAATGAAAAAGGTCGGTGCTAGCTGGATTCATTACACTCTCACTGTGTTCCAGGTCCCTGGCTGCACATTTTAGGCACATTCTTGGTCTGTGAAATAGGTAGTGTGATGAGGAAACTGAGGCACAGAGAAATCAAGTGATTTTTCCTCCAAGGTTGCACAGCTAATAAATACACAGCCAGAATCTGAATCCACATAGTCCAGCCCCAGAGCCTGCTCTAAAATCTGGCTCCAATAATTCGGACTGTCCAGAAACAAATTCTAAAGGTGTCTTTGAATATGTCCATAAACACGGTGATTTATAATAGATGGTTTGTCAAATCAAATTGAAGTTAATCTTGTCATATGATGCCAGGAATTTAGCACCCCAGTTTTCAAAGACCTAAAGTTATTAGTGTCAGTTTGGGATTTCTATTTTAGTTGGACCCACAAGTTACTTTAAAGCTTTCATACTTGCCAGGGGGTATTTCGTTAAACTTTAGGAACTAATAAATCAGGGCAGAGTTGTGTTTCTTCTCTCTAGGCTTTTATATGACTGACTCAGACTGAACTTAGAGAGGGAGGAGGAACGTGTAAACAGTAATGTGTTTGCTTGTGTTGCAGAAGGAGACAGCACAGATCAGGATGAGCTGCAGTCAGGGGCCAGCCTGGGCTGCGGTCCCTGTACAGCTGGAGTCCATGTCATTGCATTGCCTTGAGAAAGTCCCCTCATCTCTTCAATGTCTCCTAGGATATTCGGGATTGTCCGGGACCATTAGGCGCACTTACTGAACTGAACACTAGAGTGAAAGAGAAGTTTCGAGAGTTGCGGCACAGGATACAGGTGAGCGGCGCTCTGGAACCGAGATCCAAGAGTGGGGTGCAGGGATGGGGCCCGGGCCCTAGGGCTGACCTCGACCCGAGAGCTGTCCGGGCTCTTAAGCAAACATTTAGATGGTGTAGGTAGCTGTCCTGACCTGCTGTCCAGGTTAAGGTTGGACACTCTGGAGTGCAGGGCACTGCCAGCTGTGCTAAGTGGATGGCAGGGATGCCGCTGTCCTTGGAATTTTCGACTTAAAAACTCTGAGGTCACTTGAGCTACTTCCTTTTCTCCACCTCTCTCTGCAGCCCATTCACCCCAGTCCATCACCAGTGTTGCTTCTTTTCAGGCTGTTGTTTTGCCCAGCCTCTTCCTTTCTGTTTTGCCATCACCAGTCACATCATATGCACATACAGCTCTCCCGCGTTCAACTCCGGTACGTGAGGTCTGTCTCATTGTTAACGTAAGGAGAACGGTTTGCAGGCATCTGTGCAACCTGGCAGCCGAGGCGAGTGGGCTGGAATGCGCATGCGTGAACAGCGACGCTTTCACTATACTGGTCAGTGGGACAGTAGGCTCTGTTGAGTGAGCGTGTGTACTGTGTGGCTGTCACATTCAAAATGACTGAGTGAGTAGAGCAACGAATCTGCATCAGATTTTGCGTTAAGCTTGAACATTCCTCTCTGGAAGCTATTTGAATGATTCGGAAGGCTGCAGCTATGGGCAACTGGTGATTGGCAGCTTCATCATGACAGTGTGCCCGCTCACGCATCACATCTGGTGCCCATTTTTTTGGTGAAACATCAAATCACCCTGGTGACTCAGCCCCCCTACAGCCCAGATTTGGTGCCCTGCAACTTCTTTTTTCCCAAAACTAAAATCACCTTTGAGAGGGAAAAGATTTCAGACTGTCAACGAGATTCAGGAAAATACGCTGGGGCAGCTGATAGTGACTGGGAGAACTGTGTGAGGTCCCACGGTGCCTACTTTGAAGGGGACTGAGGCGTCATTATTCTGTATACGGTGTTTCTTGTATCTTGTGTCTCCCGTAAATGCCTGCATTTTCCTTATTGCGTGGCTGGATACTTTCCGGGCAGACCTCGTATGTGCTGTCTCAGAAGCAGGCTGGCGAGAAGCACTGGGCTGAATAGTGTAGGTGTTTCTGCTGCTGTGCCTTCAGTGAGATGTGGGTGGCAGGGCCTGCCCGTCTCCGGGTGAGTGCTGGGCACCCCGTCTTTCTGCACGTGCAAGTGGCGTCTGAAGACTCGCGCTTTCATGTCGCGCGGCCCCAGGTGCTGCTCAGCACGGGGACAGCCTGCTCTGAAGGAAGCCTGCTCTGGAGGAAGACTGGCCGCTGGCCCCTCCGAGCGCTGTGCCCGTGTCCTGCGTGTTCCTTCCCGGAGAGACGTTCAAGGGCACTTTGGGAAGCAGGCAGTGCTTGGTGTTCCTGAGAAGTCTGAGAACAGGGTCAGTCCCCCGTGTAGAGCTTTTGTCCCTCTTCCTTTCAGGCCTGCGCTGTGTCCCGAGCCCCGCGAGGCCTCCCCACTCCAGGGCAGCCACGCCGCACTCACTGGCCGACTGCACCGGCTGAGTCTCCTCCTCGCTGTGGGGTCCTGGGCTTGTCCTTACTGTCCTGCTAACTTAGCTGTGTGTTTCAAAGGACCTTTGTGTTGTGCCACCCGGCAGGACACCCCGGGGGTCCTGCTCAGGGAGGGTCTTCACGTGCTGGCTCTGACCCGGCCACAAATGGAAGTGCTCTCGGGTTTATGTATTGGCTTTACAGTCATTTTAACACAGAGCTGCTTTCCCCCATAGGAGCTTGAGCAGTTGGCCAGAGAGCAGGACAAAGAGTCGGAGAAGCAGGCGCTGCTCCAGGAGGTGGAGAACCACAAAAAGCAGATGCTCAGGTAGGCGGCACCCCCCCGCCCCCCGCCAGCGGCCTCTGCTGGCGCACGCGCCCCTGGGAGGCTTGGGCCTGTTTTGCCTACGAAACCTGGGCTTAGTGACTTGACTGTATCTTTTATAAACGGACTGAATGTTCTCTCTAGAACAGTAATTTCCAAAGAAAAGGGCAGCAGGAGCTGTTGTGTAGGTGGAACTGGGCATAGTTTCACAAAAGCATATTTAATATTACACTGTATTTTATATTTTAAAAACAAAACCAAAAAATGGTTGCTATTGTAATACAGGACTTTTTCTCTCTTTGTTTAGATATTTTTTAAAATCTATTTTTACAGAGATAGGGGAAGGGAGGGAGAGAGAGAGAGAGAAGCATCGCAGTGTGGTTGCCTCTTGCACTCCCCCTACTGGGGACCTGGCCTGCAACCCAGGCACGTGCCCTGACTGGGAATTGAACCGTTTACCCTTTGCTTCGCAGTCTAGAGCTCGATTCGCTGAGCTATACCAGCCAGGGCAATACAGGACTTTTTTATCTAAGGAGAATTGGTACCAGAAGTCCATTAAAAGTGAACACATTTAAGATGGACCAGCCCTGACCTGTATGGTTCAGTTGGTTGTAGCTTTGTCCTGTAAACCAAAACGTCATGAGTTCGATTCCTGGTCAGGGCACATGCCTGGGTTGTGGGTTCAGTCCCTGGTCAAGGGTACATACAAGAGGCAACCGGTCGATGTTTCTCTCCCTCCCCCTCTCTCCCTCCCCCTCTCTCCCTCCCTCCCTTCCCCTCTCTAAAATCAATGAGCATGTCCTCAGGTGAGGACTAATAATAATAATACATTTCTTTAAAAAGATGGACCAAAGTTGAGAACATTTTGAATGGGGCTTTATCTGAAAAAGTGGAGCCAGGGAATGTCCCTAAGCTTATGTTCTACAACACCGAGGTTATCGTGGCTGTGGGCTGATACTTGATTGTGTAACTGAATGTCTGTGCCATCTCTTGGCATTGAGTTGGGGGGCTTTTCCAACAAACTTGTGTGGCGGCACGAAATCGTACCTGTCCCTCCACATGTGACTTTTGCGCCACAATCACAGGAGGGTTTTCATGCAAAGCTGTCTGTGGGCTCCGTCACCCTTCCCAGTCCTCTGGTCGGGTGCCGATCGTTCTCCTTTGAAGCCCCTGCTGGGCCGCCTCCTCCTGGGCCTTCTCTTCGTCCTCGTTAGTTGTCCGACTCGGCCTCCTCCATGCTGGTCTGTGGCTTTGCCTCTGGTTTGAACGATGCCCTCCCCCGCTGCCGGCAGCTGTGTTGGTAACGCCCACCAGTCGGGAGGAGAGGGCTGACCACGGCGTGGGCCTGCCGGAGGCTAGTCCAAGTGGGGGACAGGAGCGGAGTGCATGCCACCAGTGTTAAAGTGCCCGGCTCAGTGCTGACACTTGGTGTCATCAGGACTTGCGCTTCCCAAGGCCACCGAGGGCACTCCGATGATAAACAATGAATAAAGGGGACACGTGCTACAAAGTGTAGCAAGTTCTGCCGGACAAAGTCGGGTCAAAGTTGAGAATGGCCACCGTGCCCTGGAGCTCGAGGGCAGAGGAGGGAAGGCCGTAAGTCAAGGCTTCGGCCCCTGGGTGTGGGAGCGGTGGCCGCACTCGCCGGGCCGCCTGCCGTCACACTGCACGGTGATGAGCACGGGCTCGCTGTCTGTCCTTCCGGTGCGTGTGGGCCCCGGGGGCGGGCTCCGTGGCCCGCTCAGCTCCGCAACGCAGGGCCCAGCAGACCCGCCTCCATAACGGCTGGAACATGTCACCGATTCTTTTTATTTTAAATATTTTATTTATTAATTTTTAGAGAGAGGGGAGTGGAGTGAGAAAGAGAGGGAGAGAAACATGGGTAGGTTGCCTCTCGCACGCCCCCAAGTGGGGAACCGGCTTGTAACCCAGGCCTGCGCCCTGACTGGGAATCGAACTAGTGACGTCTCGGTTCACAGGCCGGCTCTCTGTCCACTGAGCCACCCCAGCCTAGACATCACTGATTCTTTTTAAATATCAGGTATGAAACGGCATGGTGGCCGCTGTTGAGGTGCCAGGGGCTTGTCTGCGGACTCTCACCCTTGGGGCCCGGACAGAAAAGCACCTGTCTGTTCGTGTAGTCTCCATTTGACCCGAAATGTTTCGGGGGTTAGTGCAGTTGACGTGAGCCAGGGCGCTGCGCGAGAGTCCTAGAGCAGGGGCTGGGTTCTGGGCGGGGCCCCTCCCTCTCTCTAGGCCATCAGCACAGGCTGCCCTGCTAACTCCAGGCCGCCGCTCACCAGATTGGCTCAGGCCCTCCCAGGGTGCGGAAGGAAGGCGTGTAAATAAGTCAGGTGACAGCGGGCCCCGCTGGGTCAGTGTGTTTGTGTCACCCGCCATCTGTCTGCTGTGCGGAAAGAGCAGCAGACCGTGAAGAAATATTGAGGGAAACCGCCTTTTTATGATTTTTGTACTTCTTACAACATACACCACCTGAGACTGCTGTTGTCGGCCCTGGTGACATACACGTGGGCCAGGGCTGGTTCTTGAGCAGAGCCAAGCGGTGCTCGGGCAGGGCAGCGAGGTGGGAGAGCGGGCTGGACAGCACGGGCCTCGTGTCCTCAGCGGAGGGCTTCGTAGGGGACCCTGAGGTCGGGAGGCCTGCGGGCTGTAAACAGCTGTGCGGGGGCCGGGCTGCCCCCTCAGGCTGCCCGGGGCTCAGAGACAGTGGGGGGCAGTAGGAGAACATCCTGGAGGCGCCCAGGGTCCAGAAGTGCAAGGGCAGCCAACAGGAGGAAGCGGTAGGGGTGGGGGCAGACTCCGTGGGCCACCCCGTGCCCTTCCCCATTGCTCCCCCGCTCTGCCCAAGGAAGACCTGCTGGGACTGGACTGTCGGCCTGGCAGAGTCTGCAGAAACTCACGTGTGCCCCTTCTGATCCCAGCAATCAGGCGTCCTGGAGGAAAGCGAATCTCACTTGCAAAATCGCAATCGACAATCTAGAGAAAACAGAACTTCTCCAGGGAAGAGACCCCTTGAGGCAAAGGTAACTGTCTGTGTTACAGAAGGCAGCCCCGCGGAGGCCCTCCCAGCAGTCTGTAAGTGTGGGCTCCGCACACCCTTGTTGGCTCTGACTGCAAACATTTAAGAAACCTGGGGATTTGAGAGGTGAAAACACGGGGTCTCCTTTGCACACGGGACTCTCTTGCAGCCGGGCTTTCGTTAACACTCCTCCTCCTGCTCTGCACGTGTAGGAAAACCACCAAGGAGGGCCTGGCCCAGACGTCCAGCAGCATCACCGAGAGCCTCATGGGGATCAGCAGGATGATGTCCCAGCAGGTGCAGCAGAGCGAGGAAGCCATGCAGACGCTAGGTAAAGCCGGGCCTGGAGTGGGACGCTTCTCCCGGCCCCGGTGCCTGCCCCAGGCCCCTCTGCCTCCGCCTCCGTCTCTGCCTCCCCCTGCAGCTTCCTGATTTGTGTGTCGTCTCCCTTCTGTGGTGGCTGGTTCTCCCCAGAGCGAGATGCGCTGCTCCTGCTGCTCCCCAGTTTCTGCAGCTGTGCACCCCCATTGGAAGGTTTCCCGACAGCTGCACTCCCAGGGGCTTGTGGGCAAAATGAGAGATCTGCAGTGTGGGTGGCAGCAAGCAGGGCGGCGGGGGTGGGGTGTGGGGTCTCTTCTTCACCAGGGCTCTTGGGACCAGTCAGGCTGCTGTTTGGGACCCGTGGCGCAGGGAGATCGGCGGCCGGCTTGTCTGCTAGGACTTGGGCCCACAGGCACAGTCCCCGGTACGGTGTTTACAGTGAGCGAGCTGTGAAAGTAACAGTCGGGGGGCACCGAAGCGGCTGCTTGGGACTGCCGGGTTCTCCCCAGAGCTTTCCCATGGCGTCTGCTGGGGACGCGGAAGAGAGTCGGTCCCCTCCAGGGCCCTCTGCATGGGAAACAGAGGACAAGGGTTTGGTCCTTGAGGCACTTTTGGAAGATTTCACACAGAGATAGAAGTGGGGGGTGTGGTGCATGAACCCCACGGAGCCGGCACCCAGCTTCAGCAGTTGTCAACGCAAGGCCAGCCTCGTCTCAGCTGTCCTCTGCGCCCCACCTGGATGATTTGGAGGCAAATCCTAGGCATCAAAAACACCTCACTGTGTCCCCCTAAAGGACTCTTGAAACAAAAAATAGAAATCAAACCACAGCGCCATCACCGCCCTAAAAAGTATCCGTGGTCTCGGCCACTCCTTTCAGTGCACCACGCAGACAGGCAGACGCAGCAGAGCCAGCTGCTCGTCCCCAAGGCCCCTCCCCGTGTTTGAAACTTACCTGGGCTGCCAGGCCCAGAACCAGCCGGTCACTCATCTAAGCATGCACTGCAGCACGGCCTGAGCCTGGCAGAGGCCTTGGGGATGTGGGGAAGGGGGCACATCTGGCCTTTGAGCCAAGGCTTTTCTGCTCCGGTGCAGGTGACAGCCAGCTTCCCCACACACACACACGTACACATGCATCAGAAGCAGACGATGCATTTTGGGGGGAGGCAGGGAGCACAGATGCTGAGGATTTCTGGGGTGCTGAGCACTGTTCTTGGGGCACATTTTGTAGGAGAGAGCTGTTGAAAAATAAGAATTTGATTATTAATCTTTTCTTTATGGCCCAAGAATTCAGCTTGATTTAAAAGCTGTTGAAACCACAGTGTTTTTTTGAAAAAGCCTATTAGGGACCCAATATCTGGCCTTTGCTGGTGGGGGCGGCAGGGGACGGGATTGCTGGGGACCCGGTGGTGCTGCTGTGGGGGTGACGCGCACGTGATGTTTCCTGACGCTGATCGGTCTTTCCTGCGGTGCTTTGTGTGCCCTGCAGGGAGCGCTGACGAGCAGGGCCCGTCAGGCTGGTACTTGACCGGTTTTACGTGGGTGTTTGAAACGCAGAGGCCTGGGGACAGAGGGCCGGGGGGGCGCTTTCTCAGTGCTCGTTTCTTCCCCAGACCTGCTCCTTCCGAGTGCGTTTCTGTTTCTTCCAGCAGTTTCTTTTGTTCGCTTTTCATTGTGTGGGAAGGTGATCCAAGCTAGGTGGTTAAGGAGAGGTTCGCCGGGCCGCCGTGTCCAAAAGAAACAGCGTGCGCCCCGGCGGGGGCGCGGAGGGGGCGTGTCAGAAGCGGTGAAACAGAACGTGAGGTTGACGTGAACCACGTGTCCCCTGCAGCCCGTTGCATGCCAGATGTTGCCGTCTCAGTAGGCAGGTGACAGGAGAGTTCCTGAGACTCTGCCTGCCTTTGTCCTTCACACGTGTCTCCGTGACCGTCTCACCTGTAGACACACGCAGTCCGGGTTGGCCGAGCCTCACACGCGCAGGCGCCGTGCGTCTGGTGGCTGGCCTGTTGGAGGGCGCGGCCCTGGGCAGTCCGAGAGGGAAGTGGAGAGACAGCCGCCCTCCGACCGCCTTCGGAGCCCTGACCCCCAGGTCCACTCGTGTGCTCCCCAGGTCTCCGAGCACGCAGGGCACACGCATCCGACTGCAGCCCGTGCTCCCCCTCCTCACCATGCCGGCGCACTCCCCCACCACGACGCCACCTTGCCGTTCCACGTAACACCTTTCCCTTTTGGGGTGTCCGGACAGTGGCTTATTTTACTTTGTGGGAGAACATCCAGGTAGACTGCCTTCCCCAGCGTCAGGCCCAGAGACCCACACTCAGAGGTGAAGTGGGCGCCTGAGCACAGTGGGCCCTGAGGGACACGGGCCTCCTCTTAGGTGTCACACTACGTCCATCGCGCGGGTGACCGGTCTCTAATGCTGTGGTCGGTCCTGGACTGAAGGGTGTGTTTGTGGGAGGGCGTGTGGGGGCCGATCCCTCAGAGAGCAGCCCTGGCAGCCAGGGGTCCTGGCGGGGTGCCCCTGTCCCCACACAGCCCTCACAGGGCCTGTCCACGGTCGCCTGGGCCGGTCTTGTGGCCGGTGGTCCTCAGCAGCGCCCACCTGCCCCAGAAAGCCAAGGTCGGTGCCAAGGAAGAACAGTCTTTCTGCCTTTTCCCTGGGGGGCCCACTGCAGGGGACTCCAGGTTACAGCCCTGTGACATTGAATGTACACAGACCCCGTCCCTCCCTGAGCTGGATGGGACCTAGGGAAGCGCCTTTCCTTATTCTGTCCGCGTTCTCCACCCCTCTGCCGGTCTCTGTGCGCGGGCAGGGAGCCTGCTTCGGGAGCGACGTTCCTGGGGACCCGGCCCCTGAGCCGGCTCCCTGCTGTCTGCTCTGCGGTCTCTGAGTCGGCCCCCCACCCCTTATGTTTCAGTCAACTCTTCTCGGACTATCCTGGATGCCAATGAGGAGTTCAAGTCCATGTCCGGGACCATCCAGCTGGGACGGAAGCTCATCACAAAATATAATCGTCGAGAACTGACGGACAAACTCCTTATTTTTCTTGCTCTGGCCCTTTTCCTGGCAACGGTTCTCTATATTATAAAGAAGCGGCTCTTCCCGTTTTTGTAGGGTCTGAGAGCAGCTGGCGTGCGCCGTCTGCGCTCCAGTGTCGGGGTCCAGCCACGCTCCTGAGCTCCGGCCCGGGCTGCCCAGCGACCCGCCTTCCCCGGGCGGTTCCAGGTGCCCAGTAGGTCGATGGAGACAGTCCGCAGGTGTTTGCCCGTGGCTGCCTTGAAAGAGCGGGCGGAGCGAGAGGAAGCCTGTCGTCAGGATGCCTGTGGGGACACCGGGCCTCTGGGAGCCAGCGAGCACCACAAGGGGGACTACGGGGGCACTCAGAGGCCACCCTCTGGGATTGGTGGCCCTCCTCCCGCCATCGCCGTCAAGCCAGATCTGGTGGAGGGAGGGGGCACTGGCGGGAGAAGGACGAGGAAAACTTGTGTCCATTCCTTGAATAAACTTGACCGTGTTTAACAGAGTGAAATGCGTTTGGTTTTACGAGGTATCTCTCCAGCCCCCACTGGGGGTGCGGCGGCGTCGCAGGGGCTGGCCCACGCCTTTCTCTTTGAGGTCCCGAGCTAAATATAACCTAGGAGAGCGAAGCTAGTGATAAGCAGAGGCCTGTCTGGGCCCGAGTTCTGCTGGGGCCAAGGGGATGGGGCCCTGGCTCGGCCAGGCTGGGGAGGCAGGTGTCTCTGTGCCTCGGGCTGGGCTCCCCTCGCGTCTGAGTCTCAGCCTCCCCCACTCTGTGTAGCCAGGGGGCCCTGGGAAGGGTACCGTGGAGGCAGAGGGGACGGTGGACTTGGAGACTCGGTTCTGAGTCTTCCCTGCTACTCATGGGCCACATGGTTCTGGGCAAATGACTTCATGTCACTAAGCCTCAGTTTCCCTACCTGTGCCACAGGGGCCATCGTTCATAGAGACACTTGCTGTCGATCTGAGAATCAAACGAGAATGTAAAGTGGTGAGTGCCACTTCCGTGTGACCGAGCAAATGCAGCACGCTGGTCCCTGAGGCCCCACGGAACCGGCTGGGGCATCCCAACTTCTGTTTGGGTCTGAAGTGCCAGCCCGTCAGGGGGCCAGCTGTGCACTGTAGACCTGCTAATTTAACAGGGGGTCCTGAGTTAAAGTGTGTGTATTCGTTTACACTCTATACGTCACCCTTAAGCAGCGTCTGGCCCCCGAAGACGCTGGGTGCCAATGTGCCTGCATGTGTCTGGGGATGGTCCAGTGGGAGCTGAGCATGAGACCCAGGGGCGGTCCCCGCTCGCGTTCCAGCCGTAAGGGCAGCAGGTGGGTGTTACCAAGTCTGCATTTTCTTGTCTTCATATGTTCCTTTACTCCACCCCGCTAATTGCCCACAGCCTCCTCACCATACGGAAGTGTGTGGGCTCTGTGCTCCGGAAAATTCTCCCTTTGACGCTTTATTCCTCTTTTACTCGCCTCCTGAACAGAGTGTCGAATTCGCCCCATTTTGAAGTGCCTTTATCTCACAAGCCCACTCAGCCAGAGGGCGAAAAGTCTTCCTCCACCCGCTGTCTGTGCAGGAAGCGGCTGGCTCCACGTTCCACCAGGAGGGGGCACTGTTCACATTCGCTCTGTGGACTTGGCCGATGGATGACTAACCCCGTCAGACCGTGTGAAATGCTCTTAGGGATTTTTTGCTTTTCTAAACAGATACTAGGTTTGGAAAATCACATATACAAAGCTTACTTCTGTATCTCGTTCTGGACTTGCAGGCTCTACTGGAATAACCAGCGCTCTAGCGAGCGCCTCTGAGTGCGGGAGCCGCCCCAGCAAGCTGGGGGAGCCTCCACCCTGCAGCCTGGTGGTCGGAGGCTCAGGGCGCAACCTGGACCTGAGACTGGCGTCTGAAGAGGGCAGGGCCAGTCTGGGGGGACTGACCCTAGACGAGGAAACAAACCACCACGTCTAGGGCAGAGTGTGGGGTGGGACGAGGAGAGGTAGCCCCAGAGGTCAGCGAGACAGTGGGGGACAGAACCATGAAAGGTCATGTAGGAAGGAATGGCCTTGTACTCAGACCCAGGGAGCCACAGGAAGGCTTTGAGCAGAGGAGCGACTTAATGTGATGTCAGGGTTCGTAACAAGGTGGAGGGGACCGGGACAACTGCCACTGTCCAGGGGGCAGATGATGGTGGCTGGCACCCAGCTGAGGCAGGAGACGCTGAGATAGGCCATCGTGTTCTGGGTATGTTTCGAAGGTAACGCCAAGTGGACAGGGTTTCCGGAAGGGATGCTTATCATTCTTGAAGAAATGAGAGCAAAATGTGAGATTTCTGGCTTAAGCCACTGAAGGAGAACGAAGATTGGGGGTTGGGTTTTGGACGCGTGGCGTTTGGGGTGTCTGTTAGACACCACTCTGCGGGGACAGGTGGGCAGGCGGCTGCGTCAGGCTGAAGTCTCTGCCTGCAGGACGCACAGTCCTGAGGTTGGAGGGGCCACCCAGGGACTCGAGTGCAGAACCTAGAGGGAAGAGGGGCCAGCCCACGTGACAGAGGGGGTGGCCGTGGCCTGAGAAGGTGCTCTGAGTTCAAATGGTGGGGAGCCTAACTGTTCCTTTAATCCCCACAACAAGAGATCTTATCTTTAAGAATCCATATTTTCATCTTCATCTTCTTCACTGTCATCATCACCTGTATCATCATCAAAAATGGACAGTGTGAGAGCAGAGTGGAGTTTTCAGACATACGGGGTCACTGTCGGCCGTGACAGTTATGTCAAGTGCTGTGGCAAGACTGAGGAAGGGGTGTCACAGGAACGCCTGTGGGGGGCCCTGAATAGCCACAAGTCCGGACACTTGGGTGAGGACTCCGTCTGGGTGGGACTCCGTCTGGGTGGGACCCGTCTGCCCGCCGTGGGCTGTAAGAACTCAGAGCTCCGACCGCCCAGACCTGAGCTTGGCTGTCCCAGGGGTCACACTTGAAGTCCTGCTGGACTTCCACTGTGCTGGACACGGGCCGCCACCGCAGCCACCTGGCTTGAGACCTCTCCACCCGCAGATGCCACCAGTGACTGGGACTGCACACCGGACCATCCCTCCGCTCACTTCTGTCATATAAGCTCCTCATTGTGTCACCTGCGTGTGCCTCTGTTGGCTCACTGGGGGGTCTCCCTGAAACATACCTGGTCTCGTGGGAAGACAGAGATGTGGGTGACTCCTTCCAGGGACGCTCCCTTGCTCATTACAATAGCTGTTGAGTCCCCACTGCGTGCTAGGCACCTGGAGACCGCACAGAATGTGAGGCCCCACCCTTCAGAATGGCACAGAGGACAGTGGAGCCTGTGCTCTGCTGCCACTGAAGCTCTGGAGGGAGAGTGCTTCTCTGGGACGAGACAGGCCGGCGTCTGCTTCCCCTCGGGCCACGGCTCCGTCTGTTCTTTCCACGCCTGGCTCCTGGGCACGGCCCCGTTCCCTCACCTCCCACCCCCCGTCCACTTCAGTCCGCCTCCTGCCACCATCACTGTCCCTGAGACAAGTCTTGCCCAGGTCTTCGGCGACCTCCAGCCTGCCCATTTGGAGGACATGTCCCCCGCCTTCCTCATCTCTCAGCAGCTGCAGGCCTTGCTGGCCACCGGCTCTGCCCAGAGACCTGTGACAACGACACTCTCTCATTTGTCTCTTGCTCCGCCAACAACTCCTGGACTCACTCTCCCTGCTTCATCTCCCACTCAGCCCTCAACACCAGCTGCCACAGATCTCCCTTCTTCTCCCCTGCATAGTCTCTAAAGGGCAAGGTCACCCTATCCCCACGGCTTTAACCTCTGGGGGTCAGCGTCCGTAGTTCCTAAGTGGGGTGTCCACTGCAGACCCCTCCCTACCTCCATTCAGATGTCTGATTCTCCTGCCCCACCTCAGCCCGGGCTCCCCCTCCATCCACACACAGCAGGGGGAGCTGGCTTTCTTCCCTTTTTCCCTTCTGAAGCCCCTCTCCCTGACACCTCCTCCCACTGTCCCGGAAGGTAAGACTTCCACAGATACAGGTCAACCCATTCTGAAAAGAAGGTGTCTTCCCTTTCCTTTGGGGAGGGCAGGGAACCAAAGGGCCCTGCTCCATGTGATGTGGCAGATGACACAGTTTGGTTGGAGATGCTCCTAAGGAGAAAAAAAGTCAGTAAAATAAGCTCCGTTCTCTTCCTTGGCTCCTGATGGGCTCCCTGGGGCCCTGCCTGAGGGTTTGCCTCCCCTGAGCAAGGGCAGAATAAAAATAGCTGGGGGCTAATCTAAGAGATACCAGATAGAAGCTGTCAGGCATGAAGGCTGAGGTGGGGGGAGGGCTGGGTGTTAACCCCTGCCCTCAGCAGCCAAGCCCGGGGGGCCTGGGGTGCCGGTCCACTCGCATTTTCAATGGGCTGTGGTGCACGGTGGTCAGATTCAGCGGCCTTTAGTGGCAGAGAGGCCAGGGTTCGAATTGTACCCTTCCTGGCCATCTGCCCCTGGGCAGGGCTCCTCTGTTGCTTCCTCATCTGGAACACAGGGACTGCCAATGGCATTGACCTCTTGGGGCTGCTGGGAGGATTCAAGGACAGAGCTCACGCCTGGAGCTCCCACAGGGGACTCTTGCAGAGCTGGGAAGAGAAGGCTCCGTGTCTGACTCTGGTTGCAGTGATGCTGGAGGGCAGCCGGGGGAAGGAGCCAGCAGACAGAACTTCGGGGGCGTGACCGAGGAGCGTTGTTGAGGGTGCCGGGGCCCAGGGCGCCGAGGTGTGAACAGAGACCTGGGTGCCTGGCTGACCCACCAGAGTGGTTTCCAGGGGTGGAGGGCAGAAGGCAGCTGGCCAAGGCGGGCAGTGAATGTGGACCATTCCCTCATGAGGTTTGGCCCAGGCAGGCAGGAGGAAGAGA